GTAATTTCTTTAAAATATCGTGCATTTATTCAAAAATTCCCACATCAATATGTTTGTATGTATTTTCAGAATCGTCAACATTTATAAGTATGTCATAAGTGTATCAATATATTCAGTTACGTATCTATGTGTAACAAATATATTTCAATATATATCGTAAGAATTATATTAAAAATAGTTTATTATACTTGTATTAAGGAAATATTTATATTAAAGATCTCTTGCTTAACTGGAATGCTAAATTTCTATCAAAAAGTTAAAGTATCATTTAAATCATTTAAATCGTATGAATGTATCAGCAAGTTAAAAGTATCGTCATTTAAATGTATATTTCCATTGAAAAACCGATTTCCAACTATAAAATATATTTTTCTCTCAATCAAGCGGAGATATGATTTGCCCTAAATATGATAAATGTAGTAGAACTTCATTTATATGAACTTGTCGGTGGACAAATACATAGCTTACACAAGTCTCCTCTATTAATGATTTTTCGTTCATATAATAAGAATTCAAATAAACAGATTAAACAAGCAGGAATTCATTCAATCAACTGTTATCTAAAATTTGATTCAAATAAATGGAGTTCTACTATGTATAGGAATATAATTATTATAACAGGAGTTCAATTGTTTTTATTCTATCCGATTTCTCTTTTCACAACTATTATTTCGTCAAAGGATTAATAATTCCAAAAATGATCTCTTTGTAACACAGGAATATAATACAATATAGTATAATAACAATTTCGAATATTATTATAACACGAGTCCAATTGTTTCTATCCTATCCGACACAATTGATTTCTTTTTTCCCCACAAACTATTATTTCGTCGAAAACTTATTAATAATTCCAAAAATAATCTCTTCGTAACAGATCTCTTACTGTATAATACAAGTGTAACAACAATTTCGAATATTGTCATATCACGAGTCCAATCGCTTTTATCTTAACCAGCCGCAATTAATCACCATAATAAATTTTTCTTCTCACGACTATCATTTCGTGTCAAGTTAATAATATTCTTGTAACAAATAATCACGAAGAAAAGTCCACTTACCCGCTTCTGAACTCTCCTCTCCTAAATGCAGCAGGTTGACTGTGCCACGCGTGTGGCAGGTGTGCCTGTTGCGTGGGTGGTGGCACGGCCAGGTCAACCGGTTGGCTCTGTGACCTCGTCGGAGCGGTTCTTCCGTTCAACGCCGTTTGGAGGGCTGTCGCCAAAGCGGAAGTGTCCGACGTGACCGTCATTCGTGATGTACCCGAGGAGGTTGACGTTGGCTCTTTCGTTGGGGGTCTGCTGCAGATGGAGAACGAACGAATCACTTACGTCTAAATCGCGATCAATCAGCGGCCGCTGGCGTCCGCTATGAGTAGCAGCGAAATATACTTGAAGCACGTGATTTATGTACAAGGGGATTCGGTTAGGCCTCTAATTCCTCTAAGTGTCCCGAACAGTGTCGCAAGTCTGTCTGATTTGGGACTCCTATAGAAAAGATCCGCGGCATGTAATCTCTGACATCGACATTGTTTAAGAGTTTTGTAGCTCTCTACGGAATCGTGGTCTGTAACGAGTCGATCGGTTTTTGTTTCTTGGTAACGCTAGTGTTCAAAAGGAGCACGAGTCTTGAATTCAGTGCTAAGAGGTAGACGGTAGAATCTCGATAGTTCTGGAGAAAAACGAAACTATACAGGAGTGATTGAGATTTGAAGTTCTTCTCTCTTCTATTTTTTTTTTTCTTTTTCATTTCTTGGTTGTGAAGAAACAGAGAGAAAGAGAGAGAAAGAGAGAGGGAGAGACCTTTGAGAATTCTGAGAGTGGCTCGAGGACGTTGATCGCTATCTTTCTGAGGATATAGATTAATTTCTTTGGAATTTGTTAACTTTAAATCTAACCTGTTAACCTGGATAGGAATTAATTCTTTTTAGTTGGGAATCATTTTCATAAGTAGATAGTTATAAATATAATTGATTAGGTCAGATTTATTAATTATTGTGGCTAGACTGTGGGTTTTTGTACATTTGCAGGAAATTTTATAGGAAGTTTTATAAGAAAACATTTTTTACTTTTTAAAAAAAATGTTCGTATTTATAATATTTATATTTGCAATTGCTCTTTGTATAATAATAGTGAAGTTTTTTAATAATAAAGATCCTTCTTCTTATTTCTTTAAAAAATATCAATATGCTTGTAATATTGTGAAATTTTTTTTAATAATCAAAAAAAGATTTAATGCAATTGTTTGCTCTATAGTAATTTTCAAGTGACATATAGTATAAAAATTGGAAAATTACATATTATAGTATAAATACATTGTAGTTTCTAAATTTAAAATATAGCTAAGAAACATAGCAAGTTAACAGGTTGAAGATAAATCACAAAGCTTGAATCGGAAAAATTAGAGAATCTTAAAAACCAAAGAAATTAATAACGACTTCTGGCAAAAGTATTCCACCATGCAGTAATCTTTGGGTTGTTTAAAAAACATCGTCAAAATCCTTCGTCCACACTTGCATACGACATATGTATGCACATCTTGACAATTGAGATTTTGAGACTATCGAGACTGTACTGCTCTTTTCTAAACGAAACTAGCAAAACATACGTATGCTTGTGCACTAATGAAAAACTTATGTCCTACGTAGTGGCGATTCATACTCGCGGGAATCAGCTACAAATTGAATCTCTTACCTCTGTCCATCGTGATGGGATATTTTTAAATTGCTATGAAGGGAAGTTCTGTTAAGGTGTAGTAAAAAATGAAATTGTCGTGTGAATTAATTCAGACGAACGAAAAAAAAAAAAAAAAAAAAACTAGATTCTCTTACGAAAAATTTTTGCAGAAAATTTGGCACAAAACCACCATCGTGTTTAATATTGTTAAAAATATTTGAAGGTAATTGCCAAAATTTAATATTGCCAACATTTTTAAAGGCAACTTTTCAAGAAATTAGTATCTTATTTATGAATTTTTCAAGTTTGCATCCCTTTAAAATTATTTATTTTTCACTTGATCTTATTATTTATTATACAATACTTAGAAAGTGTCTCGTTCTTCAATTTCTTAATTTTGTATCTTTTTAAAAAAAATTTGTATGTTCGTAATTAAAAAAGACTACTAATATCAATATAATTAATTTTTACAAATCAATATGAAAAATCTAATAACAGAATTTCAAGATAAATATTTTATTCAAGTATTAACTGCAAGCATTGTTTAAACATTCCTCCTATTATATGAAAAGAAAGGGAACAATGAAAAGCTTCATATAAAACAATGTTCCTAGAAATTTTCCTTCAAACAGTTATTTCAACAATGATATCGTCTACAGACTTTTCAACATCGTTAATGAGCAAACGAATCGAGAAAAAAATAAAATGGCTTAAGACATCTTCGCGTGTTCATCCTCAGATAAATAAATAGTAAAAAAAAAATCGATTACGCACACGTCGTGTGAAAAAATGCTCTCGATTGATATTCTAATTAAGGGAACAGAAAGTTACTTCAAAACAAGGATATCGATCAGAAATATGTA